ACCTTGCCAAAATAATCTAAGAATATTTATTTGGATAGTTCAAATAAATTAATTGGGCTAAAATAGTTTTAGCCTATTAGGTTTAATTAAAATCCTTAAGATAATTTTGGTGGAAGAATAAACATCAACCTTATTGGATAAGGATGAATGTTTTAAAGATAAACATTAACCTTATTAGATAAGGTTGATTGTTTTAAAGATAATAATCAAGTAGTCCATATATAGAATAACTCATCATCCTTTGAGGATAAAGAAGCAACAACCTAGAGTCCTTTATGGACTCATGGCTCCCCTTTCCTTGTCCTTAAAGGACAAAAAAACTCTCTCCCTATAAATAGGAAGAGATATGAGGCATAAAGTGAGGATGACCTTAAAGAGTATTTTTGGCTAAGTAAAAAATATTAGGGAAAAATTTGGTCAGCCCCTAACATAATCAAGGGCACATAGCCAAAAGAGAGAAAAAATAGTTTTCTCCTAAAACCCTCACAAGAAATACTCTTACCTTCTCCTTTAAGATTGTCACAAAGTTGTCCAAGATTGATTTCTAGAGGAAATACTTAATCGAAAAGGTAGAGCTAGCACCCCATCAATTTTGAGTGCTTCTTTGTTGATATTTAGGCTACGTGGATTATCAATAAAGGCTTAACACTTGGACGACTAATCAAAGAAAAAGAATTTAGATCTACACTACAAGAGGTAATCCTTCACTTTTAGCTTATTATATGATTAGTAGATTCAACGACATGATCTTGGGCCCTTAGATGGAGAAAATTTTTTATTTATTCCACACCTCCATGGGATGCATGATCCTTCATTTACCTCTTATAGAGTAGATCTAAATTCTTTAGTAAAGAAAGGAGCTATCCGAGCATCCGACCTCTATTAATTATCCATGTTTTCTAAGTAACTACAAAGAAACACTAAAAATTAGTAGAGTGTTAGCTCTACCTTTTCTAATTTGTTTAGTGTTTCCTACGTAAATCTAATTCGAGTAATTTTTCAATAACCCAAGAGAGAGGGAGAGAAGGTGGCGTGGCGGGGTTAGGGAGAAAACAATTTTCTCTTTCATTTTACTTTAGGCCGAATGTCATAATTTTTTTTCGTTTTATTATCAATTTTTTTCTCACACAAAAGGTCTCTCTTAACCATGCCTTTTATCTCACCTCTCCTCCTATTTATATGGGAATAGGTTCCTTATCCTCCGGGGATAAAGAGAGGGGGATCAACTAGTCCTTATTGTACTCTTGGTTATTGTTTTCAAATCCTTTAAGGATTAGGAATTATTTAACTTGTGAGCTTTTAATCTTTATCTATAAAACATTCATCCTTATCCAATAAGGTACATGTTTATCCTTCCACCAAATTATCTTTTAGGCTTTTAATTAAACCTACTAGCCTAAAATCATTTTGGCTCAATTAATTAATTTTTATTATCCAAATAAATAAACTTATATAATTTTAGGTGGCCTACATCAAGAAACAATTTCTCAAAATACCATTAAATCTAAAGTAAGAAACCTATTTTCATTTTAGGTTATTTACTTCAAAATTTGAAACTAAATTTCAAATTAGGAAATTGATTTCTAAAAAGAAAAATTTTCATTTTAGGAAGCTTTTATTTTAGGAAAATTTTTATTTAAAGAAACCCTTTCCAAAATAAGAAAAATTTCAAAATTTGAAACTTTTTCAGTATCTTTACTTCTCTTTAGTCATGCAAATTCGTAAATTTATGCACACAACTCAATATGCTACTAGATATGTTGTCAATGTATTAAGAATAAAAGATATCTCTTTTATCTCTTGATACATAAGTCAAAATTGGTCTCTAGCAAGGCATCATGACTACCTAATTTTTTAAAAGGATTAATTAATATGTTATTACCTTTCATAAGTGTAGTTACTAAATAATTCATTCCTCATGTCAACTTATCACAATGTGATCTCGAACTTGGTTATAAGTCTTGTTCGATTATGATCACACAAGTTTTCTTTGATTCCTAGTTGTCTTAGCTCCAAAAGTAAATCAATTATGCTATATTAGTGTACTCCTACTATAGCCATAGATCTCTTAAGTAGACATTCATCAAAGTTCAATATGATAACTTTTTTAGTATATAAGGAATGACATGTGCTATCTTAGTCATCTACCTACCTCTATTAGATTCCTAGTGTACCTAACGAGTCACCCACGTACAACCCTTTACTAGATCCATCAAAACGAGTGTCAAAGTGCATAAATCCTCTAGGAGATAACCGTGATGACTTCAAGTCTAAGGACTAGTTATACCCATCTAGTATGAGATTCCCATCAACTAAACCCAATAGGTTCTCAAAGCTACTCAAGTCTAGTGATATGTTTTCTAGCATAAATCACCTAAGTGCTTACTTTGACAACATCATCATGCCAATAGGAGTGAAATTTTCAACTACTATCATATAACATGAGCATAACACTCACAAGTCTAATTGGATATAGTCAATATCCATTTCGATCGTGTTATGACTTGAGATATTTAATGATATCATTTATATACGGTAGTATTTTTCTCACAACTTTCGATCAATCACCGATACAAATGCATATCATATGAACTTCTATCTAATTCTATTTAATCAATAAATGTAAATGATAAGAATTAATAGAAAGATTTCTTTTATTATAAATGATATAAATAATGCAATAATACAATAACTCAAACCCATCTAAACATAGTTGGATCTTGAGCACCTACACTAACCATATTATGTGTTTAAGGCATGAATTATGTTTATTCATTGTTCATATTGCATGCATACTTGTTTTATATGGAGCATGTATTTGATATATTGTTTATGTTATATGTTCTTGGGGATTTAAAGGTACCCATGTTAGGGTTTATATTGTTGCATTGTATTTTTTTATTAAATTTATTTGCATATCATAAATCATGAAAGGGGTTTTACATTTATGAATTTGATCAAAGGAAAAGGAAAAGAAAAGGTAAAGGAATGCATTTCATTCTATCCATTTGCATATCATAACCATGAAAATGATTTTTCTTCATGGTTTTTATGAAAAGGAAAAAAGGGAAAGGACATGTTTTCAAAAAGGAATGGCTAAGCACCTTTTTTAGGTTATAGAAGAGAAATGATCCCCCTCTTTGAGGAAAAGGGCAAGTTAAGCGAATGATATGGTTTATACTCTAAGCATGCAAAGGAAAATGAGGACATGCCAAAGAAATGATTTAGTGTATACTCTCGGCATGTAAAGAAAAATGAGGACATGTTAAGAGAATGATCCGGTGTACACTCTTAGCATGTAAAGAAAAATATTATGGGAAAGTATTTAGTGTTTTTGTGAAGTTTTCACAATTACATGTTTTAAAAAAAGACCGATTATATGCACAATATGTAAGGTACACACGAAAAGGAAAATAAATTTCAAAAGGCACAAAAGCAATTTTTAAGTTCATCGTGTACATTACATGCATTGCATGGAATACACTTATCGGACATCGCTCACCTTTGTTTCTTATGGTCTAGGTGAAAAGAAAGATGATTAAGAATCGTCACCGAGAAAAGATGAAAACTTGCCTTTTTTATGATTAATATATTATAATGTGGGCAACTTTACCTTTACTTTTGCTTAATTTAATTATGGATTACGAATATTTGGTAGTTGGTTAAGTAAATAGTTGTATATATTAATGCATGGTATGGTTAAAAGTTGAAGTTTGATATTGTGGTATGGGTTAATTAGTTATATACCTTGTTAAACTAAAGAGTTACTTGGCTAATCAATATGGATTAAATGCGATAATTGATTATAGAAAGTAATTAATTAAAGGTACAATGGAGTTAATAGCTAAATAGCACCTAGTTTAGTAACTAAAAGTTAATGATAAAAGAATGTAAACTTGAAATGGCTTGATTGAATGAGTTAGTAAGGGAAGGTATAAAGTGAAGTTCTTGGTTAATAAATAAATATCTTTAATGGGTTAGTTTTAAATAAATTTGAAATCAAAGTTCTTTAAGTCTAAGAAATGTTTTAAATGGACAAAGTAATATTTAAAGGTCTAAAAGAATTTATTAAATGCTTTGTTGAATTTTCAGAATAATTTCCTACCCTATGGAATTTTTATAAATACAATGGCATTAAATCTTGGTTTAATGGTTACTATTCATGGATTATTTTCTAATTGAATGTAATACATGATAATTAAATTATTTTTGAAATAAAATCAATATCAAATAATCGTACAATATTGTATGGAATGTTTGAAAATTAAATAATCCTAAACTAATTTTTATATGAATTTCTAAAAGGAATTTTAGAAAAATAAGAGACATGGTTCAATTTAATTTAAGGTAAGGTATTTTTTTAAAATGATTGCTCGAATTTCAAGGATATGGATTTTTAACCAAAAATATGTTATTTAATGTTTCTATATATGGTGTAGGAATATTAATTGATGTTAGTCAAATTTTGAAAAAGTTTATACCTAATTTTTATTTAATGTAAACCTATTATTCCATATTTACTAGGGACTCCATACGAAAATTGCTCACTCTACCAATAAATTAAAAATTTTAAGGGAGAAGGCTTATTGGCTTACGAGTCATTGGACTTCGAATGTAAATCGGTGCCGATATCACCCTCGACCAATTTAAGTTCTAGGTCGGAGGTGTTACGGAGCTTAATGATGGGCTAGGGAGTCATCAATGTTCCTACATTCTCGCTCTTTATATAATGGTGCCCCTTCTCTCTTTTGAAGGATAATCATTTATGCATATTTGAGGGAAGAGATGTAGGATTCGAAAAAAGTACTTTTGGTACTAACAGAGGCATTTTCAACATCTTTAACTATTCTTAGGTCGTGAGATAAGCCTCTATTAGGATTTCAATACGTAGTTGTAATTAAATAACGTTCACTAGTGTACTATTGGAACCGACAATCGAATGTATAGAATACGTTGAAGTTTCTTTATGGATGAATTAGCACCCATAAAGAAGCTTGTAGATGGAGAAACAAAAGTTAAGGATTAGCTTTTTGGTCGGTTTTACTCGGACGGTGCCTTTAATGAGGTTATGATCATTAGACTAGAATTTATGGTTATATGGCTTTCAATCCAAGTTGATTGTATGGTTAATATAACTTATCATATGTTGAACATTAGCGAGTACTTGCAAAACAAGTCTTCTTCTAATGTTTAGAAGACTTTCCGATTGATAAGTTAGCTCACGTAGAGGTGTATTGCCTTACTAGGTTTTAAAAAATATTACTTTTATATACATAAGATATGTACTATTATATTTGTTTTGAGTTTAGAAGGCAGAATTTTTAACTTTTGGCTAGTTGGTCTTTATATATGGGAAGATGACAGTTAATAAGTGTGAGATGGGGATAGAGTAGTCTTTTCTCTTATGCTCTTTTGTTTTGATATTCACATTGAGGAATACTTATCTTATGTAGACATTTCATCCTTCATATGGTTGGAGTACCCTTATGGTGGTTGTTTGTGGGACAAGTAATGCTTAAAGAGCATGATTTTATGATTTTATTTAATGAGTATACTTCTTATTTCTTAAATGATTGTGATTGGTGACAACCAAAACTCGCCCCCAGCAGAGATTTGGAGCCTTTATGGGCCTATAACTTGGGTTTTAGATGTTAGGCCAATTATAACTATGGAGATTGAACTTCATTTCCTATATGCTGTTTTCAACGATGTTATTATTTTCTTGGGGCATACAAGATAGGATTACAATACCTGAATTTGATGATTAAGACTACAATAAATAAATGTTGGGATGCATTTATTTCACAAAAGAGGAGTGTCAACATTGTTCCTTGACAGCTGCTGTCAACCGAACTTTTTCCGACGTATATAAAGATTGGCTACGTGGCTTGCCCTCACACATATTAACAAAAGCATGCAAACCAACTCAACATATATATAACTACTTTGTCTTGTGTATTGATCGGCAAACTGCAGTCAACGTGGCACGTCAGTCAGATCGCCTTACCAGGATTGGGTTGGAGGGCTTTGCCACTTATAGATGAGAACTTCGGCCAGGCCAAGAGGCGACCACCAGTTCCCAAGGTTCGCAATGCTGATCCGAGATATGTTTATTACTCGATCCAAATTCCTTCAACAAAAGTTATCAACAACATCAAGGCCGCTCAACGCTACAGTGGGAGGGTTTATATTTATTATCCCAAGGAAAGCAGTTCCGTTTTAAAGAACTAGTGCTTAATTACTTGTCTTTCTTTCATGCATCACATCCTTCACTTGTGTTACATTTAGTCCAGTACAGTATTCTCCCTCCGCTATGCATAGACGAGGAGAGGTAGAACTCGAGTCAACAGCTTTTTCTTACTACTACAAATAAACATTCTGTTTATTTGTAGTAGTAAGAAATATATATATATATATGTATATATATATATAGTTTATCTTCCATGTGATTTATCATCCTATTTATCTGGCTGTTCATCTATGTATTGTCAAAAATATCTTTCTGACTTATTAATCTTCACCTGATTCACCTCTTACATAGCATGGAGTTGAAAGCCACATACATAATTCATTAATTTGCTATTCAAGTACTATGAAACTTTACAAAGCCGTGTGATTTCACTGACATGTGAGCTTAAAATTGTCTGTCATTTTTTGCAACTGCACATAGCACAAGGAAAAAAATGATGCCGTGGTACGTCACTTTCATTGCTGCATTGCAAGCAAGAGGATATGATTTTAAAGGGCAGAAGTTCTGGTATTGCCATATGCTTATATAGATCGGAGGATCCGCGACCACAAGTGATGATATGTTTCTTAATGATCTCCATTAGTGATGGGTATATTGGATTTAGGGCTAGCAAATCCAACAGACTAGATGGTAAAAGAGGTTCCGGCAAATTTTTGAATTTGAGATTTATAACTAGCATGGAGAAACATTTATTCATCTGAAACTCTCTAACTACAATAAGAGAGGTGCACCTCATAAAAAAAGCCCAATAATAATAACAATAATAACAATAACAACAACAACAACTTAATTACAGTTCAAACAAGTGAATTGGCTTAAGTAATACATAGATACTTCTTTGGTTTTCTTTTTATCTACAAGAATTAGCTTAGAAGAAGCTCTAGTCGTTCAAGTAAATGATTTTGGTTTTAAATCCTTATATATGCAGAAATTTCTTTGAGTATTTTTGTCAATCTGATATAATCGCAAAAGATTAGTTTTGATTTTTATACCTGATAAATAAAAAATACTATTTTTGTTTTTTTTTATCCAAAGCATGCCCCTCAACCTGCTGCCCACCTAAGTAATCATCTGATTGGTTATTTCTATTAGTTGCTACAATGAATATATTCTAAAATTATTATAGATTACCACTCATGATTAACTACTAAAGGGGTTAAAAAAAATCATATCTCTCATTCTTTTATGTTCATCTTTATATTTGACTGAATGAAATGTTGTTTGGCAATTTCCTTACGACTAAATCAACATTTACCGTTTCTATTAAAAGCAGACCATCCATATCAATACTAAGCAAATCACGAGAAAAGACATTCTCTTGGTGATGTTTGAACTGTTAACAGAATTGAGACCAAACTTATCCAACTTCACTTTTTTTTTTCCCTTTTTCCATTAGCTTTTTGGATTGTTAAATTTTCTCATCTTGAAAATGGGCCATCATTCTTGATATGCTGTGAGTTAGCTTGTGATCTTAATCCAACTTATTGATTCACTTTGAAGTTTTTGTAGCTGGTCCATCATAATTTGAATTGTTTGTTAATTTGAAGAAAGTCTCTAGTTTTTCTTTATTATGCTTCTGTTAGCATCAGAGTATCATTTGTACTTGTGGTTTTAAACGCGTGCCTTAGGATAAATGGTTTGTTGGAATATGAACTTTAATTAGATTAATTTGGTCGGCTCATGGATTATTCTGAACTAGCTCCACTAATAATACTTGATATATATTTTTAGAAACAAATATGAGTTACATGTTAATAAACTCAAATTTAATATTTAAATTACATTTGACTTCACACACTTTATCGATAAGGAGACATCTTTTATAGATATATCTTTTATGCATACAATCCAATGTATAAAAAAGAAACTTAAATTGCCTACTCATATGTTGAGCTTCTCTCCTCTCCTTTCTCAAAAACTTTTGAATCACATGAAGGTAGTCCAATAGGTTGTGAAGATCATTAGTATAGTCCGTACGAGATTGCAGCATTTGTTTAGTATACCAATCAATCCACTAATTAAATCGCTTCCGCACAATTGTATACTCGACTTTGCTACCGGAGCCTAGGTTGGTATCCATGATCCCTTACATCTAGATGAACATTATATATTTTTTTTTCATGAATTTTTCATGATTTATTTCTTAATATGATTTTCTTAAATTTGCGGGGAAGAAAATTGGTATTAAATAATTTGATCTTCTACAAATCACGAAAATTTATCAACATGCGTGTTTAGTATGGTTTAAGGACATATTAAAATTTCAAATTAATTCCATTTAGATTGTTTATTTTCAAATTTGGAATTGACTTCCAAATTAGAAAATCGATTTCTAAAATGGAAAGCTTTCCATTTTAGGAAGTGTTTCATTTTTGAAAACTTTCTCTTAAATAGGAAACTTTCAAATTGAAAACTTTTTTCAACATCTTTACTTATCGTTCATTATATGAATGCTTAAACTTATGCGTTTGACTTAATAGGCTCCAAAATATGTTGGCAATGTATCAAGAAGAAAAGACACATCTTTTATCTCTTGATACATAAATCAAAATTAGCTTCTATCAAGACATCATGACTAGCCAATTTTCTAAGAGGATTAATTAATTTGCAATTAGCTTTCATGAGCATGGTTACCATATAATTCTATCCTTATGTCAACTTATCATAGTGTGATCTTGAACTTGGCTATTAATCTTGTTCGATCATGATCACATAAGTTTTCTTCGATTCTCAAATATCTTAGCTCTTAGAATAAGCCAACTATGCTCTTTTGGTGTAGTCTTTAGAGTGAGCCAACTATGCTCCGTTGGTGTAGTCCTACTATGATCATAGTTTTTTTAATAGACATTATCGAAGTGTAATGTGATAACTTCTTGACCATACAAAGAATGACATGTCCTATCATATTCATCCACCTAACTCTAGTAAATTCCTATTGTACCCAACGAATTGTCCACGTATAACATGTTACTAGATCCATCGAAACAAGTGCTAAAGTACCTAAATCCTCTAATGAAATAACCGTGATGACTTATGTTTTAAGTATACTAACATGTAATGGATAATTTAAATTAACTACACTATTATAGCTACACTACTATTTTACTATTGGTGTTTTGGTTACATATAGACCAGTTATATGCCAACAACTACCAAATTGGCTTATTGACTAATTACACCATTTTAAAGATGCTTCATTCACTTGTTCATCGCTTTTATCATAACATAAAATAGACCAACTAACCCTAACACATATAGGCCAATAGCTATTACGAAAAAAATGGCATGTAGTAGATCCTCTTGAAAGCCGAACCCCCACCCAATGTATATATGTCTAGTGCACCCCTCGAAATCAACTCGATAGAAAAATAGGCCATCGTACCTTAATTATCTATATCACAAGGAACTAAGTGAGTGATGACCTAGTAAGTTAACTTATGCATGTCATGTATATATATGTATATACATATGTAAAATACTAGTGTATATACATTAAATCATTTTTTTGTCATAATACATTTCATGATTAGTCCGAAAATCTTTTTCTATCTTTGGTCATGTTTCATTTAGGTACCTCATGGTTTTCATAATATATGTCCGGCAAACTAAACTCATATATGGACATGCCCTATCGAGCCTCTAAAAATGCACATTTGCACTTACTCGACCTTGAACCATTACCATTATGGTATGAAAAATCCATGAAGCCCTTTCCTCATAAAAATCCTCAAGGTCATGAAAGCCACATTCTTTAAAAAATTTCTAATTGCTATTAGAAAACCATGACATAAACATGTTTGCATGACTTTAAAACATTTTTCATGAAATTAGGTATGCATAAGCATTTCATTGATAATGCATAAACATGAGGTGCATGCCATGAATAACAATATGATTATGCTATACTTGAAGGATCATGCATCCTATAGAGGTGCGAAATAAATAAAAATTTTCCTTCATCTAAAGTCTCAAGAGCAAGCCGTTGAATCTACTAACTATACATATATGAATAATAGGTTATAAGTAAAGGATTACCTCTTATAGCACGAGATCTAAATTCTTTTTAGAAAAGTTATCTAAGTATTCGACCTCTATCGATGATCCACATAATCCTAGTATCCATAAAAATTACTCAAAATTAGTGGGGTGCTAGCTCCACCTCTTTTGATTTAGTATATCCTCTAGAAACTAATATAGGCTAATTTTACGACAACCTTAAAAGAGAAGGAAAGCGTATTTCTTGTTAGGATTTTAGAGAAAACTATTTTCTTCTTATTTTTGCTCGTTTGGCCATATGCCCTATTTAACTTTAGGACTGGCTGAAACTTTTCTCCTCTTTTTTTTTCTTTTGGCCGAATGTTACCCTTTTTTCAACTTAGCCAAAAATACTCTTTTTGTTAATTAACCTTCTTTATGCCGTACCTCTCCTACTATTTATAGGAGGAGAGTTTCCTTGTCCTCTAAGGACAAGGACAAGGGCGACCACAAGTCTTTTTAGGATTTTAGGTTTTTACTTCCTTATCCCTTAAGAATAAGGAGTTATTTTATATATAGACTATTTTATTATTATCTTTGAAACATTCAACCTCATCCAATAAGATTAATTTTTATCTTTAAAACATTCAACCTTATCCAATAAGGTTGATGTTTATCCTCGCACCAAAATATCTTAAGGCTTTCAATCAAACCTAATGGGCCAAAACTATTTTAGCCTAATTAATTTATTTGGACTATTTAATTAAATATTCTTAGATTATTTTGGTGGGGTCCACATTAGGAAACAATTTTTCAAAATATCCTTTAAACTAAATTAGGAAACTCTTTTCCTTTTAGGTTCTTTATTTTCAAATTTGAAACTAACTTTCAAATTAGGAAATTTATTTCTAAAATAGAAAACTTTTCATTTTGGAAACTCTTTCCAAAATAGAAAAAA